TCCCTGAGTAACAGTTCTATGTCCCTGAGTAACAATTCTGTGTCCCTAAGTAAACGATTCTGTGTCCACTAAAGTATCTGTGGCCCTAACTCTGTCCCTATATACAGAGAGGTCTGTCTCTCTTGAATGACCGGAGGCAAATGGAGAATTGTAAGATGGCCGCAATTTATAGCTCCACCATTACACAGTGCTGGCTGGCTGGCTGCTGATTGGCTAATGCGATGCACATGTCATGAATGAATGCATTATGGGTCAGCGCGCCTTGTCTGCGCGCCTTCCCAGAGATCCCCACTCCGTCGCCACACATGTCGCCGCCATTTTTGGAAAAATTTCGATTCGCGCATCCGAAGTCTGCTAATTTTCGGATTTTTTCTAATATTCGAAACGAATTCCACTTCGCCAAGTTCGATTCGCTCATCTCTACTCATCACCCTCACCCACGGCCCCACCACTGCTCTGACCTCCTCTTCCACCCCACCCTACATTCCTCATACTGAAGCTCCCCCCCACACTCCGCACATTTGACCTTACTACCATCGAGGAAGTCTCCAAGATCCTCTCTGATGCCCGCCTCACCACCTGCCCCCTCGACCCTATCCCCTCACAACTCCTACGACCTTCCTCCTCCTCCATCCTACGCTCCCTCACCCACATCTTCAATCTCTCCCTCTCCTCAGGCACTTTCCCCTCCCCTCTGAAACATGCACACATCACCCCCATACTTAAAAAGCCCTCCCTGGACCCCAATGACCCGAACAACCTCAGACCCATCTCCCTGCTCCCATTTACATCTAAACTCCTCGAGCGCCTAGTCTACACCCGCCTATGCTCTCACCTCAACGACAACAACCTCCTCGATCCCCTACAGTCCGGCTTCCGTCCCCTACACTCCACCGAAACTGCCTTACTCAAACTCTCCAACGACCTGCTAACCGCCAAAGCTAATGGCCACTATTCAGTGCTCCTACTCCTTGACCTCTCTGCGGCCTTCGACACAGTCGACCACCCCCTCCTCCTCAAAAAACTACACTCCCTCGGCCTCAGAGATTCTGCTCTCTCCTGGCTCTCATCCTACCTGTCACAACGCTCCTTCAGCGTTACCTACAATGCTACCACCTCCTCCTCACTCCCCCTCTCTGTTGGGGTCCCTCAAGGCTCTGTCCTCAGGCCCCTTCTCTTCTCCATCTATACCTCCTCCCTTGGCCAACTCATACACTCTCACGGCTTCAACTACCACCTCTATGCCGACGACACACAAATCTATCTCTCAACCCCCCACCTCACCCCCTTGGTCTCAGCCCGAATCACACACCTACTGAGCAACATATCAGACTGGATGTCGCTCCATTTCCTTAAATTGAACCTCTCCAAAACCGAGTTTCTTGTCTTCCCCCCAGCCCGGACACCACCCCCCATTGATTTCTCCGTCACGTCCAACAACGCTACCATCAAACCTGCCCTGCAGGCCAGAGTACTGGGTGTCATTCTGGACTCCAACCTATCCTTCCAGCCCCAAGTCCAATCTTTAACAAACTCGTGCAGACTCCACCTCCGCAACATCGCCAAAATCCGCACGTTTCCTAACCCCAGAAACCACTAAACAGCTCATCCACTCCCTCATCATATCACGACTCGACTACTGCAACTCCCTCCTCACTGGCCTGCCTCGCCGCTGGCTATCCCCGCTTCAGTCGATCCTGAATACGGCTGCCAGACTCATTCACCTTTCCAACCGCTCTGTCTCCGCCACCCCCCTCTGCCAATCCCTCCACTGGCTTCCGATTGCGCAACGGATCAAATTCAAAATCCTAACGCTGACGTACAAAGCTGTCCACCATACTGCCCCGAACTACATAACTGACCTAATATCCAAGTACCGCCCAGCACGCACACTCCGCTCCTCACAAGACCTCCTTCTCTCTAGTTCCCTGGTCTTCTCCTCCCATGCCCGCCTCCAGGACTTCTCCAGGGTGTCACCCATCCTCTGGAACTCCCTGCCCCAACCCATCAGATTATCACCTACTCTCTTCTCCTTTAGGCGCACCCTGAAAACCTATCTCTTCAGGGAAGCCTACCCCACCCCCTGCTAACTTGCCGACCTCCTCCACTCTTCCTACCACTCCATCCCCCACAGCTATCTCCTCCTGTGCCACCACCCCCTCCCTCCTAGATTGTAAGCTTGAAAGAGCAGGGCCCTCGATCCCCTGATGTTTTGCATTGCATTGGTATTGTTCTGTCACATGTTCTGTCCCCCTTTGTAATGTACAGTGCTGAGCGAACTATTGGCGCTTTATAAATACTGTATAATAATAATAATAATATAGGTTACATTGAAGGTGGAAAAAGTTCTGAAATGATTTATCTTTGTCTAATTTTTTTACATCACAGAAACCCGACATTTTAACTGGGGTGTGTAGAATGTTTATATCCACTGTATCTGCTTTCCCGTACAGGATGTATAGGCAAGCAGATATACCGACTAGAAGAATCAATGAACTACCACAGCGCTCAAAAGCACCGTGGTAGTTCATTAAGAACTACAAACTGACAGCTGCTAAGGCTGTTAGGACTTTTAGTTTCTCATTCACAGAGGACTGTCGTGGTTTTTTATACATTTAGACAGCAAGTGGGAGGAGAAGATTCCTTACTAGCTGTCAAAATGGGGGGGGAGCGGAGGCCGGTCTATTCATAACATGTTACATGTTACACCCTGAATTTGGGTGTAACATGTAGCATGTTATAAAAGGTGAACTTATCCTTTAAATACTTACATTTCCAAGATCCTTCCAGTGTTGATATAAGACCAAAAGCCTAGGCATTAAATCATTTGACCAACACTAGAGAGAAGCCACAGCATTAAAAGTAAGTTTTTCAGGCTTTCTTGTGCAGCATTTTCTTTATTCTATATCAGTGCATACTAAAGCAATGGTGTTTTCAGGAGCTGTGTTCAAAATATATTTCAGTCTTGTTATGTCTGTTCAGATTTTCAGCTATATATAATTTTTTGGAGCAGTTGACAACCGCAAATTACTTGGCAACCATGTTCCTAATCTGTGTTCTTGGTTCTTTTATCCACAGGTATCTGAGATGTTACTACTTTGCAGTTCGAACTTTAATCACCATAGGGGGACTTGCTGAACCCGTGACAATCTTCGAAATACTCTTCCAACTGCTAAATTATTTTACTGGAGTCTTTGTCTTTTCAAGTTTAATTGGACAGGTAAAAGAAAATGCTATTTTTTTTATTGTAAAGGTACCAGGACAGGTGAAGAAGAGAGTTTATAGGTTTTTTTTTTTTACCAGTCCTGGAAAAAAAAGTCTTCAGCATATGCTGAAGCACTAAAAGCACTATGGTACTTTATGCTCATTCTATACACATAAATTATTATTTTCTAAATTGTTAAAGTCCTGCTGTCACATTCAGGGAGTATGTAAACTACAAGAGGGGATAGGGTACTATATTCAAGAATTTGCTGATGAAAATAGTATCATTAGTAGTAATCAGCATGGATTTATGAAAGATCATTCTTGCTGGACCAATCTGTAAACATTCTACGAGGATGTGAGCTGCCATCTAGGAAGGCCTGTGGATGTGGTGTAGCTGGATTTTGCAGAAGCATTCAATACAATCTCCCATAAAGGTTTAATTTAGAAATTGAGGTCTGTTGGCATGGACCATAGGGCTGCAGGAGCGTGTCCAAAGGGTGGTGATAAATAGCAAATACTCAGGTCTGGAGTGGTAAGTGGGGTACCCCAAGGTTCTGTTCTGGGACCAACTGTTTACGCATAAATAATATATAGGTTGGCATAAATAGCTCAATCTCAGTGTTTGCTGATGATACAAAGCTAAGCAGGGTAATAACTTTACAACAGGATATAGAAACATTACAGGAGAACCTCAATAAAATAAAGGGGTGGAAAACTACATGGTAAATGAGGTTTAATTTTGAAAAATGTAAAGCAGTGAATTTGGGGGCTAAAAATATGAACTCATGTTACTCGCTATGGAGAGAACCTCTGGGGGAATCCGGGATGGAAAAAGATCTTGGGAGTCTTAATAGTCTTAATAGATCACAGGCTCAGCAATGGCATGCAATGCCAAGCTGCAGCAAGCACAGAAAGCAGAATATTATCATGCATAAAAAGGGGATTTACTCAAGGGATAAAACTATAATTCTGCCATTCTGGTCCAGCTGCATTTTGAGTATGCCATCCAGTTTTGGTCACCAGTCCTCAAGAAGGATGTGCTGGAACTGGAGAGAGTCCAGCGAAGGGCAACCAAGCTCATAAGGGGACTGGAGGACTACTAATGTCTATAAGCATTACACTTATTCTCCCTGAAGAAGAGACACTTGAGAGGAGATATGATAGTGATATACAAATATCTTAATGGTGATTCTAGCACAGGAAAAAAAACTATTCAGTTTCAGAGAGCTTAAGAAAAAAACACAGTCACTCATTCAAATTGGAGAAGTGGTTTAACCTTAAAATGTGTAAGGGTTCTTTACTGTCAGAGCGGTAACGATGTTAAACTCCTTGCCACAAGCAGTGGTGTCAGCAAGGAGTATCGATAGTTGCAAAAAAATTATTAGATGGGCATCTTAGCAAACACAATATACAGCGATATGGGAATTATTATTGACATAACACACCCACACAGGTTAAACTGGATGGACTGGTGTCTTTATTCAACCTTACCAACTATGAAAATATGTAATATCAGGAAGAGGGGTTTGGTTTACCTGGAAAGGCTGTGTAACAATGCCACCAGACGATAATAGAATGATCTTCAGGTAGGGGTTCCACTGGTGACTGTTGATTCAGGATGGACTTATGTAAGTGCAGAGCTGGTAGAAACTTGCTAAATGTATGAGGAGATTGCAACAAACAGGTTCAGGAATGAACTCTCTGGAGAACTGGAGTAATATCAGCTTTTGTAAAGTACACATCCATTTCCTGGAGCTTGTGCTTGCAGTGTGCAAAAATCTCCAGTAGATGATAGCAACAAAGCAGAGAAGATGAACATGCTACACTAAGACAAAGTATACACAAGATGGTGCATAATTAGGTGTTAGGTTCAGCTTGGGCCTGTAACTGCCCTTTCTTGGTTTAGCTTTACTTTTCTCATTGAACTGTAAAATTGCAAAGCCTCTATTGACCACTGAAGTTTTGACATTTGACAGTTGAATACATGTTCCTGTATATAGATGTTACCCAGGATTCAAGGAGAGCTGTTTAGAACACCTTAGTGGATATAACAATTTAAATTCCAGGTAATAAATTTGTTTTGGCAGTTGTCAAATTTCAGGACTAAACTGAAAGAAAATTTATTTTTTCTGATATATTGCCAGAAGGGGATGTCATTTTTGAATGGATCCTTCTATCTATGGAATTACGATGCTTGGAAATATAGAGATTAGTTAATTTTGTGTAAATCTTGACTTCTTTTCTTCCTGTTCTTTTTTCACTTTGTGGGTCCTCTACCCACAGTTACAGCATTTGTATCGATTAGGAAAAATTAAAAGAGAATGTAAGGGCTCGTTTACACTTGTGTCAACTTCAACACACATTAAAGCACCTACTGCTTCAACATGCTTTTTTCTGTGTTTTGATGCTTTTGCAATGCTTTTATGATGCTTTACTGGTGCTTTGGTGGTGCTTTGATGATGCGTCAGTGGTGCTTCGGTGGTGCTTTGATGATGCGTCAGTGGTGCTTCGGTGGTGCTTTTTTGAAGCTTTATTGAAGCTTGGCAGATGCCCTGTGTGTGTGTTGATACCTCATACCTCCAAAACAAAGCGAAGCTAAAGCTTAATAAAAGCCTCTCAAAAGCTTCAGGTGCTGTAAGTGAACTTTGTCATAGACTTCTATGGAGGCTTTGAAGACAATTTGAAGCACCACTAAAGCAGCATGTTCAACTATTCTTCCAGAAGCGCATTTGTGAGCTGAGGCACTGATGTAGGCCTGGCTCTCAGTCTCCTCTCTAATTCATCCCAAAAGTGTTCTATTGGGTTAAGCTCAGAACTCTGTGCAGGCCAATCATGTTCCTCCACCCCAAACTTGCTCACCCATGTCTTTATGGACCTTGCTTTATGCACTGGTGCGCAGTCATGTTGGAACAGGAAGGGGCCATCCCCAAACTGTTCCCTTAAAGTTGGGAGCATGAAATTGTCAAAAATGTCTTGGTATGCTGATGCTGTAAGAGTTCCCTTCACTGGCACTAAGGGGCCAAGCCCAACCCTTGAAAAAAAAAAACCCCACACCATAATCCCCCCTCCACCAAACTTTATACTTGACACAATGCAGTCAGGCAAGCACTGCTCTCCTGGCAACCGGCAAACCCGACATGTCCATCAGACTGCCAGAGAAGTGTGATACGCTATGCCAGAGAACACATCTCTACTGCTTTAGAGTCCAGTGGCTGCGAGCTTTATACCATTGCATCCGGCGCTTTGCATTGCTCTTGGTGATGTAAGGCTTGGATGCAACTGCTCTGCCATGGAAACCCATTCCATGAACTTCTATAGGCACTGTTGTTGTGCTAATCTGAAGGCCACATGAAATTTGGAGGTCTTTAGCTATTGACTCTGCATACAGTTGGCGACTTCTGCGCACTGTGCAATTCAGCATGCGCTGAACCCCGCTCTGTCATTTTACGTGACCTACCACTTTGTGGCTGAGTTGCTGTTGTTCCCAGTTGCTTCTACTTTGTTATAATACCACTAACAGTTGAGCATGGAATATTTAGTAGCAAGTAAAGTTTAGGGATGGACTTATTGCACAGGTAGTAACCTATCAAGGTACCACACTTGAATTCACAGAGCTCTTGAGAGCGACCCATTCTTTCACAAATGTTTGTAGAAGCTTTTGGCAATATAGTGTATGTTCTAGTGTCAACTGTCACCATGAGAGAAAGTAAAGAAGGATCTAAAATCTTACTGTGGTCACAAGTTTAGTAGTGAAAGGGGTATATTTCAATACAGACATCTGTTGTGGTGGCAGCTGTTGAAAATTAGAATTTATTCTTACTATGTGTAGAGTTCTTCTAATTTCCTGCTGTATCTTAAGAACAGGAAGTGGAAGAAAAGAATCAGAATCCTGACAGGCAAAGAGAGAAGGAAAAGGAAACAAGGTGAGGATGAGTTTAATACAGAGCTAAAGAGGCTAATCTTTGATCTAGTAAGCAACTCCTCCCAAACAGGACTGTTGGCATATTTTCACCCGATCAGAGCTTGCAGCCAATTAGCTGCAAAGCTGATCAGTGTATTCTGACAGCGAAGGAGCCCCACTGCCAGTATACAATAGCAAAACTGGAGGATCTTCCCATCCATCTAATCGGGGGGGATCTTTTTTTTTGATCAGACGGCTGGCAAAAAAAAAAGATCCATCTATTGCCAGCTTTAAACTCATGTAGCTGCCCAATATGTAAGCATTGCTGTTATATTTTATAAATACATTCTTATGACTTGGCTAGGTTTAATATTATTTAAAAATAATCAGCACAGTTTAGAAAGAATTCTAGAGAAAATTGGTATGTGTGTACTGTATATAAAATGTCAGACCAATTTTTTCACATTCTATCTCTTTCACAGCTAGATGCTGGGAATAAATACTCTACACATCTTATATTAGATTCTTTAACAATTGCAGTTTGCCCTTTTATTTCTAATATTGTAGGGCTTTAAAGGTCTGTGTTGATGATCTCTGGGCTTCAAGTCAATTGCATCAGTTTGACATCAGTTTGAGATGCTTCTGAAATCATTCAGAATTCATTGACAGGTGCATTTGAACTGCTTCAAGTGGGTTTTGCATTCTCATAGACTTGCAGGAGAATGCAAACCCTACTTGAATCAAACTAAAGCTCATCAACAGAGGCTCCTATAAATAGTTGAGCAGGTACACAATTGGGTTGATTTACTAAAGGCAAATGGGCTGTTCACTTATCAGGGCAAGTTGCAATTTGAAAGGGAACTTTCCCCAGAGCTTAGTGACTGAGGCAAAGCTTTGTTGACTTCCATTACCCATTCATGTGGAAGCAAAAGTACAGTTTTTTTTCCTTGCACATAATTGGGTATTCTTTGCAAAATTAAATTTCACCTCTTTCACTAAGCTCTGGGGAGAGTTCTTTGGCAAAGTGTAGCTTCCCGTGGAAAGTGAATAGTTTTTTGTCTTTTGTAAATCAACCCCAATGTTTTCCCTAAGTTTCCTAAACAGAGTTGCCA